GATCTTAGGCTTCAACTCCTTATCCCGTTTCGGGTCGTTTTTGTTCTCTATAACAATGGCCCCCACTCTCAAAACAGAAGACGAATAATTGTGTCAAGATCTTTGTTTTGAGAGTACTTGTCGCTTTTCGTTACCACGAGATCATTGTATATCATTGGCTAATAATGTGAAGGTTTCTAACGCACAGAGCTTCTACCAAAAAGCTTTTAATCCAATTTTGGATTTTAGTGCTTGGTTCCTACCACTAGTTTTGTGCCTTGAGCTTGTCGATACTATTCATGAATTGGAAATTTTTTCCAATTTTCGTTGACCACAATCAAGTCTCCTGAGCCTGGTTTTATTCTCATCTGAGTTTAAACTATTTACTTTTGGTCTGGGGATCTAACTTTAACATAACTAATGTCGATACCTTTGGGTTTCTAACCTATTTGGCTTTTGCCCATGTTTTATACCTCAGGGTTTACTCTCAGGTTTCTAACCCATTTGGCTTTTGCCAATGGCTTTTATACCCTGAGTTTAGTCGGCACCCTTAGGTTTCTAACATATTTGGCTTCTGTCGGTTTTTTACCTCAAGTTAAATCAACACCCTCGGATTTTTAACCAATTTTGGCTTTTGCCATATGATTTCCTACCCGTGGGTTTCATTGATCGATTAGGCTTGCCTGTTTTCTGTTTTATCCTTGCTGAGCCTGTACGCATGCCTTTTTCAGCACCTCAGATTCTTTTCCCTGGTTTCACTGATTGGCTTTTAGCTCATCGGCCTGCTTTTAGGTCCGTCCCAATTTTGAGTTTCTTGATTGGTCGTAGATATGTAGATATTCAGGTCGTAGATATGTAGATAGTCATATGATGCCCCCTGCTTGAGAAATTTATTTCAGAATGAACGTAAAAACTCAAGTATGATGTTGAATGTCGAATACTTTATTAGTAGGAAGATCGTCATGTCGAAGATTTAGTTACAATAACCTTAGTTGGTCTAAATAATGGAAAAACATAAAAATGTCCAGAAATATGTCGAACTAGTGGTAGTATCTTTTGAGATGTTGAGCGTGCCATGGGTGTAGTAAGGTCTTCCCTCGTTGGTCTTCTAAAGTATAAGTGCCTATTCGCACCACTTTAGTGACTTTGTATGGGCCCTCCCATGTTGGCTTGAACGCACCGCTAGTTGAATGCATAATCTTTCTTAACACCAGATCACCTTCTTTAAAGTCACGTTTCTTAACCTTCGAGTTGTAGTATCGAGCTATTCGATTTTTGTATTCAGCCGTTTGTAGCCGTGTTGTTTCTTGATGTTCTTCTAATAGGTCGAGGTTGAGCTGTACGGATTCGTTGTTGTCAAGTAGACTGAATTGCTCTACCCTTGGGGAGGGGAGTCCAATTTCGACTGACACTACCGCTTCAGAGCCAAATGATGGTGAAAATGGCATTTCTCCTATCGAAGTACAAGGTGTTGTTCTGTAGAACCATAATGCGTTGGGAAGTTCCTCTGCCCACAATCCTTTGAGCTTTTCTAATCTGATCTTCAGAGTTCTTTTGATGATTTTGTTGACTGCTTCAACCTGCCCATTAGTCTGCAGATGTGCTGGCGAGAAACAGATGTGCTTAATGCCCAACTCCCTACAAAATTCTCGAAAGGCAGCATTGTCGAACTGCTTTCCATTATCACTGATAATGGTGTAGGGTATTCCAAAGCAGCAAATTATGTTCTTTCAGATGAAGTCGGTGACCTTTTTCTCAATAATTGTAGCTAGGGCTTTGGCTTCGGCCCATTTAGTAAAATAGTCGACTGCCACTACTGCAAATTTGGTCTGGCCCTTTCCTAGTGGGAGAAGCCCTATAAGGTCTATTCCACACTGAGCAAATGGCCAAGGACTCATTATGCTTGTTAGAAGCTCTGACGGTTGTCTAGGTACTGTTGCAAACCATTGGCATTTGTCACATTTTTTGGTGAATTGCTTCGTGTCATTGAGCATGGTCGGCCAATAGTACCCTTGTCGAACTATTTTGTGACTTAGGGATCGTGCTCCAGAATGGCTCCCACAAACGCCCTTATGTATCTCTCTCATGACGTAGTCAGCTTCGTCGGGCATTAGACATTTTAAAAGCGGTAACGAGTAGCCTCTTTTGTACATGTCGTCTTTAAGCACATATCTGGCTGCTCGTCGTTGTAGCTGCTGGGCCTCTATCTTTTCAGCAAGCAGGATCCCGTCTCTCAAATATTTGATCAAAGGGCTCTTCCAGTTTTCTTCTAGTTGTCCTTGCTTGTCGATATCCATTGCTTCCTGAGCTTCTATGCTTGGCTCAGGTAGAATCTCGACCGGTACAATTCTACCTAGGTCGGTTTCATAAGCTGCGGCTAGTCGAGCTAACGCATCGGCGTTGACGTTTTGAGCACGTGGAATTTGTCGAATCTCATATTTTGGGAACTGGTCGAGCTGGTTTCTTACCTGTGAAAGTTATTTCGTCATTCGCGGTTCTCTAGCCTGGAACTCCTCTTTCACCTGACCTACAATCAACTGTGAATCACCGAGTATCAATATGTTCCTGACCCCAACGTACTTGGCCACTTTTAGTCCTGCTAGTAGAGCTTTATACTCGGCTTCATTGTTGGATGCATGAAAGCTGAATCGCAGTGCATATTCAAATCTTTCTTTATCTGGAGAGATTAGTAAGAGTCCTGCCCCGCATCCTCGGAAATTTGAGGACCCATCTACGTAGAGTGTCTAGGCTTTCTCTTCCTCAACCAATTGTGGGTCTATATTATATACTTGAGGTTCTGTTTGTGTTAAGTCTGCCACAGCCTGCCCTTTCATGGCAGTTCTTGGCTTATAGTGAATGTCGTATTCGCTGAGCTCTATAGCCCACTTTACCAGTCGCCCATAAGTGTCTGGCTTTTGCAAGATCTGCCGTAAAAGAAAGTTGGTGAGGACAATTATTCTTTGAGCTTGGAAATACGAGCGTAGTCTCCGAGCTGAAGTGACCAGTGCTAATGCCAGCTTCTCCATTTGTGGGTATCTAAGATTTGCATCTACCATTGCTTTGCTTGTGTAGTAGATTGGAGACTGTCGTCCATCTTCTTCCTTTATCAACGCAGAACTTACTGCAGTGTTGGATACAGCTAAGTATAAGTAGAGTTCATCACCCACATCAGCTTTCACATGAGTAGGGCTGCCCCCAGGTACTGTTTCAGCCCCTTAAAGGCAACCCACACTCTTCCGTCCATTCAAATTGCCCTTTCTTCCTCAAGATTTTTAAGGGCAAATGAGCGAATGGTCCATATATGGAACTACAACATGGGAATATATCGGTTTAATATATTAGTTAAAAAAACAGTGATATTAAAGCAAATGAGTGTGTAGATATAGGTTGAAAACAAATTAAACTCTCTCTCTTTTTACATGTAACGTAAAGTAAAGGAAGTGTTTGAGGAATGTTTTGCGTGATACAACTTGAAAGAAAAAGGGAAGAGGAAAAGGATAAAAGGACAATCAACATAATAGAGATTAGGGAATGGGGGAAGTGCTCCGCGGGGAGAGCGGGAGCTTTGCTCTCCTATACCCGCCGTCTATACCCAGTCTAATATTATGATTGGGATCTTCCATCTCCCTCTGTGATCACATCTTTGAAAGTGCCACCGCTGGGAATGAGAGGCAGCACATATTCTTGATGCGGTATGATGACATCCAACAAGTAAGGCCCCTCAGTCTCCAGCATCTTCTTTATCGCTGTTTTTACCTCCCACTTCTTCGTCACCCGCGCCGCCGGGATCCCACAGGCCTCTGCAAACTTCAACATGTTTGGGAATATCTCTGATCCCTTCGATGGATCTCCAAGGTACGTCTGAGCCCTGTTGCCTAATTTGTTGAACTGATCCTCCCACTGCAAAACCATACCCAAATACTGGTTGTTCAACAGCAGGATCTTGACGGGAAGTTTCTCCACACTGATGGCTGCTAGTTCTTGGATGTTCATCATGAAGCTCCCGTCCCCGTCAACGTCTACCACCACCGCCTCGGGATTTGCTACTACTGCGCCCATGGCTGCCGGCAGTCCGAACCCCATCGCTCCTAGCCCGCCCGAGGTTAGCCACTGGCGTGGCTTCTTGAACTTGTAGAACTGAGCCACCCACATCTGGTGCTGCCCCACCTGATGAAATAAAACACCACTCAACACTCAACTTAAAAGCTTGAACCGATCAATTTGGTAAATTTAATTCATATATCATACTCCTGTACTTATGATCGCCCTGCCATTTGTTAGCTCATCAAGGACTTGGATGGCATACTGGGGAGGAATGGCTTCCTCGAATGTCTTGTAACTCAGTGGGTACTTTGATTTCTGCCCATCCAGTTCCTCTCTCCACGCAGAGAAATCACAATGAAGAAGCTTCTCTGCGTTCTCTTCCATTAAACGGTTCATTCTCTGCATGGCCAACTTCACGTCGCCACAAACCCATACGTGGGGCTGCTTGTTCCTCCCGATCTCGTACGAGTCGATATCAATATGAACGATTTTAGCCCGGCTCGCAAATGCCTCAAGCTTCCCCGTCACACGCTCGTCGAATCTCACCCCAAATGCAAGCAAGAGGTCAGATTTATCCACAGCGTAATTAGCGTAAACTGTCCCATGCATTCCCAGCATTTGTAAGGACAGCTCGTGGTTGCATGGATACGCCCCAAGACCCATCAGAGTACTCGCCACCGGAATCCCAGTGAGGCCGACAAACCGCCGCAACTCGTCCGGTGAATTCAAACACCCGCCACCCACGTACAGAACTGGCTTCTTGGATTCAGAGATCAGTCGCAAAATTTGATCCAAAGGGGCATCGTTCGGAGGGTTTGGTAAGGTAGACAAGTAAGCCGATAATTTGATGGGCTGATTCCAGTTGGGGATCGCGAGCTGTTGCTGAATATCTTTGGGGATATCAATAAGAACAGGACCAGGCCGACCAGAAGTTGCGAGGAAAAATGCCTCGCTCACGATCCTTGGAATGTCATCTACGTCAAGAACCAGATAATTGTGCTTTGTGATGGAGCGAGTTACTTCAACGATGGGAATGTCCTGAAACGCATTGTTACCCATCATTCCTCTCGGCACTTGGCCGGTGATGGCCACTAGTGGAACGCTATCGAGGAGGGCATCGGCGAGGCCGGTGACCAAGTTGGTGGCGCCAGGCCCCGAAGTTGCAATGCAGACGCCCGGAAGGCCGGAGGAGCGTGCGTATCCCTCGGCAGCAAAGACGCCGCCCTGCTCATGGCGGGGGAGGATGTCGCGGATGATCGCGGAGCGTGTGAGGGCCTGGTGGATCTCCATGGACGCGCCGCCGGGGTAAGCGAAGACACTAGTGACGCCTTGGCGCTCGAGAGCCTCGATGAGGATATCAGCGCCTTTTCTCGGCTCATCGGCGGCAAATCGAGAGACGATGAAAATTTCAGGGACGGAGGATGGAGACAGAGAGCTACAGATGCGAATAGGACGGCAGAAAAAGGTGTGATTTTGGGTAAGAATAGAGAATGATTGAAAGAATGGGGAGATGGGTTTCGAAGGCTTGAAAGAGGTAGAGGAAGAAGAGTATTTGGAGATGGAGGTGCAGAAGGACATAGCTGCCATTGATGGCATGGAGAAGGAGGCCAGATGAAGCATAGTTATTACTTTCTTGGAATGAAATTGATATATTAAATATGTATGAGATGGATATATATAGTTTGAAAAATATTTTGAGGTTTGGTAATATTACACATGATATTTTACAAATGTTGTTTAAATTTTTTGGCGTATATTATCCTTTAGGATTTAGTGTTTGGGATTTGGGATTCAGTGTTTAGAGTTTTTTTTTTCATTGTTATTTAAAAAAAAAATTGTCTCTAGGATCTAAGATTTAGGATTTTATTTATTTATTAAAAATATATGAATGTGTAGTGGAGAGAGGAGGAGAGTATTTATTCGAACTTATTTATATTAATATAATTATAAATCATAGTTCAAATAAAAATATTATAACTCGAATGGAAAGAATCTAATTCAAATAATCTAATCTAATCTATCTAATAATATTATAAATATCAAAGCATAATCCTATTGATTTCAAGCTTTGAAGCAATAAATCGATTAGATTATTTAATTGCCATCAATTTTAATTTAGCGAATTAAAATATTCTTACCATCTTTAAACACTTAAGTAAAGAAGCTAACACCCACATTTGAGTATATGTTATATTTTACAAAATATGTAGGATCAGTTGTTTACCGAAAGTGACAAGAGAGGAAAAAAAAGTTTTTCGTACTATTTACATTTATGTGAGCATATAAAGAAACATGAAACTCCTAAAGCTATTTCGTAAATTTATAATTCTTAAAAATAGAAATGAAAAACGATTTTCCTCTCTACACGACATGTTGAGGGGGTGGACATGTCGACATGTGTCGATGTGTCCAACGATATTTAAAATAATGCAAACAACAAAAGTTCAAATTTTCAAATTGAAATTAATCTATCTACATCTAGCCTATATTGCATAATATTACGGATCCTTCCGTAAATTTTATTTAGAAAAAAAAAATGAAAAAAGTAATAATGTTGCCTTTCATTCCACTAATATATTAAAAACTATATATCTATTTAATATATTAGTTAAACAAAAGAGAGAGAGATTAAAAAAAGATGCAAGCAAAAACGATGGTGCACATAATTTGTGAAAAAAAAAAAAAGAATATGGTGAGCATAATCTTTTCTTGCAAGTTGTTATGACTATTGGAGTGCGTCCATGATTCATATAAAAAGAATAATATGTTTATGCTAAATATGAAAGCATAATCCTTCACATCGATTTTAAGCTTTGGAGCACTAAATTGATTAAATTATTTAATTGCCATGATGGAACTACAAGAGGCTTACAATTTGGATTCAAAATTAGGTAAGAGAAGCTGATTACCTTTTGACTTCAACTAAGAGGATGTCAACACATTGACACGTCGATTTGTCGAACGACATTTAACATACAAGGCAAACAACAAAAGTTAAAATTAATTATTAATTTATTTATTTACATGTTATAAATTTTATATAATTATTATTTTATAATATTATATAATTTACGTATTAATAATTTACCTATTCTTAGAAATAGATATGAAAAATGATTTTCCTCCCTAGACAACATGTCCACGGGTTTTTTCAAAAAAAAAGAAAAGAAAAGAAAAAGCATGTCAAGAGGTCGACACATCAACATGTGTCAAAGTCGATGGATGTTTAAAACAATGATAAATACTCTCCTCTTGTTTCCTGTCGATGGATGTTTAAAACAATGATAAATACTCTCCTCTTGTTTCCTTCTCCAAATTTAAGTCAACGGATGACATGTCCTCGATAAGAGAGAAAAAATGTGTTTTCCTCTATAGGACATATCGACCTCGATGTATCGACCAATATTTAAAACAATGCAATCAAACGAAAGTAAAAAATTAATTATTCATTTTTTTAAAATTATTATTTAATTTACTAACATGCTATAAATTTTATATAATTATTATTTTATAATGTTATATAATTTTACCTATTTTAAGTTTAACAAAAATTATAAAATAATATATTTTTCAAAGCGTTTTACATTTAAAGGTTTGAAATTCAAAATCTAAAAATATTATAAATATATAAATATTGTTTTAAAATCATAGGATGTAAAAAGAGTTTCAAAAAACAAATTTGTCAAATATTTTTAAATAAAAAGGAAGAAAAGCAGAAAAGCAAGAAAAATAATTTATAAGGCTATTTTTTAAGATGCATCTGTTGGATCGGTATGACAACCCTAGAGGGGTGAATAGAGTTTAATTAAACTTTATAAACTTTTTAGTACGGTGAGCCCAAATTTAAATAAATAATTAAACTTTTTAGGAACAATTAATTTTATCACAATTTAAACAATAAATTAGAAATACAAACACCCTAATTAATTTCACCACCCACATAATTCAAAT